CTTTCGACTCGAGGCGAAGATCGAAGAGATACGAATCGAATCACTTTCAAACGCCATCCGACGGTTTTCGCGTCGTGCAATTTTACGATTTTTGTGAAAAATCTTCGATCAATATTGGCCGTGTTCCCAAGTAAACACGATGTTACAACAACTGATAATTTCCAATAATTTCCACATTAAATTTAGCATTCGATGACGCGAATGAATTAACGAATGCATAATCGAGTGTAAAAACGTACGTATGCACATTTCTTTATCCTACTTTCGTTTACAACAATCTTCTTCTTTTCTTTTTTAAATTCTCAAATTTTCGAGCGTTTGTTCCAAAAAAAATATCTTTCCATCTTAAATATCTTCTTTCAAATATCTTTCAAAGCGTTGAAAGTGGAGTTTCTTTATATATACAACTTTTTCGTAATTAAAAATTTCTGATATATGAAAGCGATAACTCGACACGCGGTGAACGTTAAAAAGCAACGAAAAAATATTTAACAGCTACCGTTTCTGAAATAAACGATAAAATCGTCCGTGGGTAGGTGGGTTTATCGAATCCAGAGACATCCTGAATCGTAAAGGCGATCGAAACACGCCCACCAGCCGTCTTCCAAACCGGAAGACATCGGCGGCTATCTTTGGATTTCACTGTTCAACTGTTAGAAATTACGTCTTTAGCCGCGTGTTACGATCCGTCGTATCGATCCCGATTGTTGATCTACATTGTTGATGTACCGTGCCAACGTGTTAACTGGGATGCCAGCCTGAATTGTTCGCAGCGCGAACTTTATCTTCGAGCCAAGAAGACGATTAATTTCAATGTTTACCGTCCACAAATTTATACGTCTTCGATTCGAAATAGATTCTAATGGAAAATAATATCAGCGGGGAGGGGGGGGGAATACATTTTCTCGAATCCTTTTATTTCGAAGGAAAAATCGTATGGAGAAATATTATTACGAGGCATTGAAATGTGAGCGCATGTTTATGAAAAAAATTTGAACGTGAAAATCTCTATTTAAGCCTGGTTTTTTTTAATCGTGCTCGAAATTTCATTTTGCATAAATCAATTTCAATAACAATGATACGAAGTTGGAGAATGGTTAACAGCTAATCGACACGTTCCGGCGGCAAAATTAAAAATTAGAGAATGAAATCGATCGGTTTGACTTTTCTAACCATCCATGTAAATACAACATACAACGAATACTCTCTGAGATTGTTTACACACTTAATTCGCAATTCAACAGTTTCTATTTACTAAATTCTTTCTCATAGATACGATAACAACTTTCTATTCGATATACCTTATACGTAATTTTAACCCTTTGCACTGCGTATGTCTCTATCCTACATTTTATTATTATAAATACATATATTTATGTTGGTATTACATTCCAAGCATTCTTCAAAGTTTCTGCTTGTGTGTGTATATATAAAATAAAATAAATAAATAAAAGATACATATATATATATAGATTATCATTGATCAAAGGATTGAGACGTGGATGAAATTTATCTTATATATTTTATTTTTCAAATTTTTTTTACTAAAACGGCAAATTAACTCGTAAACATATTTCCAGAAAGATATTTTCGTTTCGATCGGATATGACAAAAAATTGACAACCTCGAAATTATATAAAAATAAATTTGGACGAAATTTTATGAAATAATTCTTCATTTTACATACACTCAATAATAAATTATCTATCATTATCTACGTTAAATCATAAAAATATATAACATTTTTAACATTTTATAGGAACAGGTGTACAAGAACTGTTTAGACAGGTTTAAATATGAATACGAGTGGAAAATTTTCGCAAAAATTTTCTCTCGTATCAAGCGAATACCTAATTATTGAGTGAATTAAGAAACGAGTCGATGAGCATACAGAACTTGGTGTCAACTACGGTATGTGTAATATTCTTATCTACGCGGTTCAATTCGATCGCGTTCGGCCAATTAAACCGGTATGAAACGAGTCTGCGAGATCAATCGTGAAAGTGGCTCGAATAGACCGATCTACACGCCGCGTGTACACCTGCAACCAATTTCGCTCCACCAATTTCTATCCGTGTTATCAAAATCGTGTGGCCCGTGTAACCCACACGCCACGATCGATACACGGCCGGGCGAAAAAATAAAGCGAACAAGCGGCCAAGAAACTCTGGATAATTGATTAACACGCGCCGATATAATCTGGGAATATTTATTTCCATTTTCAACGCGGTAACAACACGGATTGGCGATAATTTTAATACACGACGTTGCACGGGATTAAAAGTTGCATTTATTAATTTGAATTACTTTTACATTAGAGAAAAAGAGCATACATAGAATGCAACAATGTTTATATTCTCGTTCCACTCGATCGATTCTGCATTAATTTATTTAATTTGAATTTCGCTGGAAATGGATTTTAAGCAGAACGAAAAACGTTTATTTGAAAAAAAAAAAGAAAAAAAAAAAGAAGGAACGACGATGAAGGAAAGGATCGTAAAATCGTTATTTTCTTTCCGGCTATTGAAAAAGAACTCGGAGAACTCGAAAATACACGGGCTGAAAAAAATTCTCAAAGTCAACATCTTTGCGAAATTACAAATACGTTCCACGTCGCCCCATTCTTTAAAACTTGTATTCAAACCGATCCAGCGTCCAGAATTTTTAATCCGCCCCGACAATTCGGTGTAAAAAAACTAAGCGTGAGAGAAAGAGAAAGGCGAAGAGACAAGAAAAGAAGGAAAGAAGGAACAACGACGTGGCCGAGACACAAAGAGCAGGGAAGAGGAAAAGGAGATCCTTTGAATCTAACTCTAAAATTAATCGGGCGCTTGCGTAACGCGAAAAGTAAACAAACGAATTGCAATGCGCTCGCGCATAACAATAAGCTCTCACCCACGCTTCTCTCGGCCCGATGAATGCGCAGCGCGATAATTCACGCTGTAACTTCGTTATCCTATTAAATAATGTAATCGCGGTATCCGTGTCAACGTGTGCGCCGATTCTTTTCGTTGTTTCGACGAAAATGTTTTTTTAAAAATTTTAGTTTTGATACAGTTATGTATAGCATATTTTATATCGAGTCTCAAAATATTTTACAAATTTTTTGTAAAAAAAAAAACGTATAAAGAAAATTATGGTAACGTGTATTTATTCTACGAAATTTTTAAAGAAATCTTTCCGCAATCTCTCAAACGTAAAGAAAGTTTAAACAAGTTTATTTCCTTTTATCCTTACTTTACCCTGTGACCTAGAAATGGGCGTTGGAATATTACGTAACTCGACACACTTGCTAGTAGCAAGTGTAGTATTTTAATCTCAATCGAAATAAGAAAAGAGCACGATCCATTTTTGTAAAAGAGAAATGATAAATACGCAAATAAATGTTATTCTAAATTAAGAGCTTGTGCGCTAAAACGATTGGTAAGTCAAACAAATGCTAATACAAAAGAAACATTCTTCGTTTGCGAAGGAGAAAAAAAAACGTTCTTCGTCTGTCAACTTTGTTTATTGAAAGATAAACGCGGAGAGACTATCGCGAAATACAGCGTACGATATTCTTGGGAACTGAGAGTTTCTGTATGACTGAACGATGACAGACTCCCACTACACTTGTTGTTATGCAACGAAGCGTGTGGACCCGGCTGAGTGCCGGCTAGCGAAATGAGCGAAATAGCGTTCTCGTGGCGCAGAGCGCACGTGCATCTGGAAGGTTCACTGTACCAGACACTTTTGTACACAACCGTACATAACCTCCCTCCTCGTTCGTTTAATTTTATCTTTTTTGTCCTGTTATTTACCAGGAAATCACGAAATATCGTGTACACGAAAGATATGTTTGAAATAGTAAAAGAAAGATAAAGAAATCGTACTTACCACAAACGTTCAGCCAACCCTCGACGCGACAAGGATACTCCAGTTTCATCGTAGATCGTTGCAGCCGAACACCGAGTACCAAAAATATATCACACAAGTACACAGGTCACATAAGAAAATGAATGGAACAGCCCGTAGTCAGAACGTATTATCACTGTTAAACAATATCCGCGACACACATTCTTCCGTGCATTGACGCAACGCGACGCAAAACGAACCGGCGTAGTTTTGAATCCAACACGGAAACGCGCGCAGACGGAGCGATACACGAAATCACGAAGAAAGTAAACGCAAAAATGTCGAAGTGTCGTTCCTTCGAGCGCGAGCGTACACACTGGTGTTGCGCGCGCAAATCGTCGACACGATCCACATACACCGGCGAACAAATCCGAACTAACTGAACAAACCCTCTCACGTCCTCGTTGAGCCGATCTTCTTTCTCCTTCTCTCTCGCGTAGCGTTGTCGCCATCCCCTCTCGCTTTCAGGTGGTGCGCTTATCCTGCATATTTCTTGTGTATAATTAAATGAACTGTTTTAATGATATAAATTATGAATTTTTCAAAAACAATGAATTCATTATACACCTACAATAAATATGAATAGTCTGAATATAGGTTTTGAAATGATATTCGATAATCAAAATAAGATTCGATTTTCGAGATAAATTGATATTTGGTAATTCGATATATATCGAAAATACAAAGCAAAGGATCGATTTAGTACTTATTTAATTAACAAGTTATAAATTTAATAAAATTATAACTTATATAAAATAATTTTTTTTATATAATTTTATTTTTATTATACATAATAAATATAAATATAAATAATATTATATTTTTATAATATATTTCTTTATACAATTTCTATTGCAATATTCTATTCGTCTATTTTTAAAATTCTTATTATCAAAAATATTCATATTAAATCATAAAAGATCATTTTTATTTATAGTATTTTTCAAATAAAATTTTACACAATTTATTTTTCTGAAATAAATAATTAATTGAATTTATTAAATAAATAAAATAATTCATTACATTAAACACTTATATTAATAATCTAGTATCATCGATTTGAATATTACTAGAGAAACATTACTATAGATAATCATTAACTATAAGATAATTCTAGAATTATCTGCTTCTTCGTTGCCGAAACGCCACCTGGTAACGAACATACAGTCAGTTACTAGCAAAATGGCGCTCAAGGCACAAGTCGGTCAAAGTGAGTAACAAAAAATAATATAATTCTTTACAATAAAAACAAAATTTTGCAAAATTTATTTATATAATAATATTGAAAGAATCTTATAGATTTATTTTATATGACAATCATATCATTTGTACAACTGTCATAATCTGTAACCTCCAAAGGGCGTATATGCTATGATGATTTCATCGTTTATGAAGCGGCTGCTAGATAGAAATGTCAAATTTATGTTTTAGAATTGCATTACGCTCGTATTCTGTTTAAAAAAATTATATATCTTATTATAATAAAATAACATAGAGGTTATCAACATATACGTTTATCAGATTTTTAATCTATTGATTGTAAAAGTTTAATGATATCACAAGTAAATAATAATTCTTAATTTCTAATAGTTAACGATTCTTATTTTTAATAATAATAAAGAAAGAATCTGTTTGCATATATAGATCTATTATTGATTTTTAAATATATTTTATTCATATATGTTTTTATTTTAATTTTTATCATTTATGTGTAATTATGTAACAAATTATAAACAAAGTAAACATCAATACGAATTTACAAAATCATAAAATATAAAAGACTAAATTTATTAGCACGCTTTATAGATTTAACATTATATAAAAGGGGTAAACAAGCACATAAACAAAATGTATTTCCTATTTCTTTGATAATTAAACTAAAATAATTAAGAAATAATTATTTCTTATTTTAAATTTTCATTAAGTTACTAATAATTATGCATTGTTAAATTTAGACATATTTATTATGTTGTTTTATCATATATATCTATATCAAGTAATCTAATTAATATATATATTTTTCTATAAAATGATTTCCAAGTAATAATGAAATCTTAACACTTGTGATATACAATCATTGACAAAATATTTTTTATTTGATAACCATCAAATTACACAAATTTATCAGTGTTTTTACTTTCTATATATTGCGTGAAATGGGGCTCCTTTTTCTTTAGATACGATCATGTAGCATGACGTCATTCCTTGTAAGAACGATCAATACGTGTTGAAAGCGCCAATAGATTTCTCATTCAATTTTGAATCGTTCAAACATAATCCTGAAACAATTTCAATCTGATTATTATTATTTTAATAAATATGTTTTATATATTCGATTTATATTGTTCCCTTTTATGAATAAAATTTTTATTGCATTTTTATAAATTATATGCTAATGCATGTGATCGATCGAAATAAAATTATGATCGATTAATTTTCAGATTCTACAAAACAGATTCTAAAAAATTAATATTAATAATTAATATAATAAAATTAATTAATACGAAATAAAATAAAAATTGAATACTTAAAGTGTTATTATATTGTAACATAAGAATATTAATCATTTTTCAATTTTTTCTTTTAGAGATTATGAATGAAGTCATCAAACAGAAGAAGACCGGAAGTTCTGGCGTTCAATGGCGAATTTTAGTAGTTGATAAACTGGCCATGAGGATGGTATCTGCGTGTTGTAAAATGCATGATATCAGTGCACAAGGCATTACTTTAGTAGAAGATATCAACAAGAAACGGGAACCTTTACCCACAATGGAGGCAATCTACCTGATCACACCATGCAATTCCTCTGTCCAAAAATTAATCGAAGACTTCAGTAATCCTACCAGGACTTCTTACAAAGTAGCCCATGTTTATTTCACAGAAGGTAGGTTGCATTTTATATTTTGATTAAGATAAACATCATTATCATAAGAAAGAATTGAAATAATTTAACTTTTGTGCATCTCACCTATACATAACACACAATTTTGATTTTATTTTTTTTCTACACATTTAATAAACAGGAAATTGAAAAAAAAAAAAAAGATTGTACAAGAATGGGCAATCCGGTATTTTCGATTTTGATCAATCAATATTAAATTCTAAGTATATCTCTTTACAGCATGTCCAGATGAATTGTTCAAAGAATTGTGTCACTCGCTGGTAGCTAAACGCATAAAGACACTAAAAGAGATCAACATCGCTTTCATACCGTACGAAGAACAGGTAAAGCAAAGGAAACTGAGATATCAAATGTCTGACAACTTTACGTTTTCCGTGGTGACGGGCACATATATATATTCACCGATATATACATGAACATACACATAATCAGCGTCCTTTATAAATACCACTCTAATAATACTCTTATTATATTTTAATATACATACCTATCTTCCAATTTTTCGACCAGCGATAATCATGATAACACAATTATTGGACATCATTCCCCCTATTTTGTACAATACTCACATATAAAGCACGTACTAACGACGGAATGCATTCATGCTTGCACGCAACCAGTGTGTCCGGAGGAGCTGTTCAATGAACTCTGCAAGTCTCTCGCCGCTAAAAAGATCAAAACCCTGAAAGAGATCAACATCGCTTTCTTGCCTTATGAATCGCAGGTGACGAACAAGAAAAAAAAAAAATTATAGTTGCTAGTTGCAAACCGCGATAGTTACCATTTTATTAGTTTCAAATAAAATTTCTCCGTATGTTTCAGTTCTTTATTTTGCGGAGTAGAATGTAGGCGAAAGACTTCTATGATTACCTTAGCTTGTATGTTCCTTTTTTTCCTTTTGCATCAATTTCTATTTTTCTTTTCGGTGTATCCAATTCTCTATTATTCTTATTAGTTACTAATATTTTTATTAATCTTCTTTCTTGATCTATATATACGTATATATATATATATATATATATATATATATATATTATTATT